TTTAAAACTTTACACGAAAAATAAAAATTACAGAAAGTAAAAAAATTAAAAAATAATTAGAGTAATTAATTAAAAAAAGTAAGTAAAAAAAATGCAAACAAAAAATTAAAAAACTCCACACAAAAAAAAACTTAAATTTTTTTTTTAAATAATTTATAAAACTATTATTCATATATAATTTATAAAATACTTTTAAGATTTTTAAAAAACATCAAATTAAAATATACTTTTTTAATAGTAAATTTGATATTGTAAAGTTTATAACTTTTTTTTGTCACTAGTAACAGCACATATTACCAATTTGTTTTATAAATCAAGTTTTAAATTTTTTTTAAGTTTTTTATTGTGGCCTTTGGCTTTGAAGCAGCTCGGCTTACGTATAGCTCTCCTGTGAAAAAATTTCAAACTCTTGTGTCAAAATATCTAGCTAATGCATGGCTAGAATTTTAGTAGAAAAATTTTACTCTTTTATTTTTATCTTTATTTAAAAATTTCTTTGATCTTTTATATCATAGTAAATTCAGACAGTCACATCAAATATGAAATAAAATATTTATTATAATATTCAGAAATTAATAATTCAAAGTATAAAACTAATAGATGATAAAAAAAAAATACTAAAATTAAATTTTTTTAATAATAAAATCAGACATCATAACAAGATATCAAATAAAATATTTAACATAACATTGAAAAATAAATAATTCAAAGATATAAAACTGAAAGATGATTAAAAAAAAAACACTAAAAATAAAAATTTACAAAATTTACAATAAGTTTGCTGATGTAAGTTACTACAAATTTTATGCTATTTACATGTATATTATGTACATTTGATTATAATTTGATGTTGCTGCATAGAATTAGTTATATAAAAATAGTATTGTTATAAATTCAAAGAAAAACAAATAGAATTTTAAAAATATTTTTTAAAAGTAACTTTAAAATGATTAAACACAAAATATATATTTGGATATTCGTACACTTCTTAAACAATGCAACTATTGGTAAGTAATTCTTTGAGTTTAGATTGATATTTGGTAAATCTTTGTTAATACATTTCAAACTATTTAGCTACTACTACTACTACTACTACTACTACTACTACTACTACTACTACTACTACTACTACTACTACTACTACTACTACTACTACTACTACTACTACTACTACTACTACTATAATCTCTATGAACGGCTAGTAAGCCGTGAATATTTAAAATGTTGTTTTTAGTGAGACAAAAGTTAAAGCCGATATGTTTTGAAACTTATTTAAATGAAATTATATTAAGAAAATGTGTATTTAACAAAAAAATTTATTAAAATTGTAATATGTAAGCTGTAGTAAGATATATATGCATGCGCAAGTAGCAAAAGGTAACATGAGGGCTTTTTGGGTTATTTTGGGATTTTCGTGTTTTAGGAAAAAAAGTTTAATATTTTCTGAAAAAGGAACAAATTCCCCCAATATATAATGATATTCCATCATTTTTTGATAATTGTAACTTTTACTACTACTGAAAAATCATTTTTTTGACAATCCGATAAATCCACGGTATTAAAATTTATGGTTTTATTTTTTTACTATTATTTATTTATTTACTATTTTTATTTATTTATATTTATTTATTTACTATTATTATTTTATTTATTTACTATTAAAAGTTATGGTTAACTTTTTTTTTTTATATTTATATATAATATTATATTTTTATATTTATATTTATATTTATTTATTTACTATTATTATTTTATTTATTTACTATTAAAAGTTATGGTTAACTTTTTTTTGCATTATAAAAATTTTGTATGTTAAATTACCACCTACAATGAAGTTATAAAAGTTGGCGGTAGTAAGCCATTCTATGAATACAACTTTTTTTGTTTCATTTTTTAGTTTACAAAAATATAAAACTTGACAAAAAATAAAAATAATTAATGTGCTTAAAATCATTTTTTGTCTTAAATTTTTGGTAACATGCGGGCTACACATTTTCAAATTTTTGAACGATTCAACTTTTTAAGGAAACTTTGAATATAAAACGTGGACGCTTTTTATTGTCAAGTATGAGTGTTCATAAGCAATCGTATTTAATCATTGACTACTTTTTTCACAAAACAAATAAAAAAACTAATATTTTTATGCAAAAAGAACGAGTAGAC